GAAAAACCTTGAAAGACTTATATGAACTGTTACAAAGTAAAATGAGCAGAACCAGCAGAATATGGTACATGGTAACAACAATATTTCATGATGATCAACTGTGAATGACTTAACTATTCTCAGAAACACAATAATTCAAGACAATTCAAAAGGACTCATAATAAAAAATGCTATCCACTTCCAGAGAAAGAACTGATGGAGTCTGAATGCAGATGGAAGCATACTATTTTTTACTTTATTTTTTCATGATTTTTTTTTTTTGGTCTGTGTTTTCTTTTACAACATGACTGATATGGAAATGTTTTGCATGATTGCATATGATTACTATATCAAATTACTTATCATCTCAGAGGAGGAGAAGGAGGGAGGAAGATAATTTGGAACACAGAATTTTTAAAAAAAGTTAAAATTGTTTTTTTACATATAATTAAGAAAAAATAAAATATTATCCCCCCCCAAAAAAGGGAGAATGTTCTTCTTCTTCACTCCCTCCTGTGACCAATATTTCAGAACATCTTTAAAAACTTAGCTCAGGTGCCACCTTCCAATTGGCTTTTTTTGATCTCTCCAGTTGTTAATGCTTTTATTCATCTTCTCTTCTCCCTCCCCTCCCCTCCCCCCCTTCTTCTCTCTTTGCGTGCGCGCGCGCGCACACACACACACACACACACACACACACACACACACACACACATACTTGTTTACCATTCCCTCTCTCTCCTACTCATAGAATGTAAGCTTCTTGTGGGTGGGAATTATTTCATTTTTGTCTTTGAATCTTATCATCTTTGAATGACAGATAGTTAATAAATATTTCTGGAACTGAACTGGATCCTTATATAAGAAATATTGGGTAACATGATGAACAATTGCCTCAGCTGCTACTTTTTTTCTCAAAGAAACAAATAGACTATTCATATAGATGGTTATTATAGTGAGGTTCTGTAATGTTATCTTGTCTTGACCCTCTATAACATGAAAACATAACATTAAATCATAAATCAATGGGGGCATTCCTTCAAAAAGGACAGGCTATAGAATCTGGGCTTATAGTTTTCTGACATTCTAACGATGTAGGGATGAACCTTAGAAACTGGTATATAAGACGGGCTAGTTAAGAGGTCCATTGGATTGCCCTGATGGAGTTTCTGATGTCTGCAGGGAGCCTGAATGAGAAAAGATTTATGACCAGATTCTCCAATAGGGTCTAGAATGCCTATTCTCCATGTTTTGGGCTAAAGTCAGAACTGTTTGCTTTAGATTACATCTGGGGGGAGAGCAAAGGCTAAGCCAGCTTGTGATCCTGCCCAGATAATAAGTCAATCTCTTAACTTCCCTTTGGATGTGAGCTGTCAGGCTGTCTGCAGGTAGAACCAGTATTTTCCTCTGAAAAGACTTGGGTCTTGTCCAGCACTCATCCAGTTCATGTGGTTGGAAGCTCAAAGTGTTCTATTTGGAAGAGATGGGAAGGCTTTTAGAGAATGTGCTATCATCCCTTCTTCCATAAAAGAATTCTCTTGGGGGCAGCTAGGTGGCACAGTGGATAGAGCACCGGCCCTGAAGTCAGGAGGACCTGAGTTCAAATGTGACCACAGACCAAACACTTGACACTTACTAGCTGTGTGACCCTGGGCAAGTCACTTAACCCCAATTGCTAAAAATAAACAAATAAACAAACAGACAAATAAATAAATAAAAAGAATTCTCTGTAAAACATCTATGAGTCCACTCTTGATAACTGGGAAAGAATTCTGATATTTACCATATATTTGAGGAAATGGTTGGTCTGTGAATCTGCATTGTAGTATTCTAGTTGGTTAGGATCACAGATGTAAGGCAGGAAAGGCCCTAGAGGTCCAACAGTCTCATATTATAGGTAAGGCAGTTACATAGCTAAGGAAGTTGGGCCAGCATTTGAACCCAGGTCTGCTGATACCAGGTCCAGTGCTCTTTCTACTCTACCTCTTGCCTATTTCCCTGAAGAATGAGGCACAGGTATAATAGAAGCCCTGTGACTCCAGGATTGCAAATCTGTTTAGGGATTCCAGGGAATCCTAGAGAAGCTAATGGAGCAAAAAGATTGGCAGGCTCTCCTGTCTGAGGGTATAGTTAGCCCCAGGGCCATATCTACTGTCTCCTTTCCTTTTCCTTGTAAGAGTCTAAAAAAATCCAGAGGTCAAAAAGATCATTTGGCTACAGTAAAAAGGATCAAGGAGGACCAAGAAGGGCTTATGGCCTCTGCTAGGGAGTGCTAAAAACAGCTCACAGCAACTTAGCGTAACAACAAACAGCAACACCCTGCCCCAGCCCACAAAGGTTAGTTAGTTCAGTTCCCCGGTGCTTGGAACCAACCAATGGAGCCCTGACTATAGTTTTGGGATGTTACAGAAAGTGACAGCAGTTCACGAAGAACTGGGTCACAAGCTTGCAGTTTGTTACCTGGAGATATGAGAAGAAGAAACATGACAGTCTGGAGAAGAGCTCGGCTTCTATTCCAGATTTATTCAGAGATCCAAGCTCCCCCCCTCTCTCCTCCTGCCTGCCAACCTCCGCCCTTAATAGACATCAACTGGGGCAGCTGAGATGCTGAGAGAAGAGCATATGTAGGATGACAACCATGCCACATGGATTGTTTTGATTCAGAATCATGTTTCAACAACTCCTAATGTTTTAAAGACCCTTGGATCACTCACTGTAGAAAATTCATGACTAGATTTTCTATTTGTGACAAGTAAACACCCTGGTTATATTGCAGTCTAAATGCGTTTGCAGATGTCAAGAGAGGGCCTGGTGTTGACTCTGACTCCCAGGCATGCTGATGTTTGAGATGCACCTTCACTAATGGGGTTTCTGCTAAATGGCACTTGCTGAGAAGGGGTAAAGAGACTTGGTAACAGGGAAAACCTCTCAAGCTGAGCAAGGACTTCATGGCAAAACCCAGAGAACATCAAATACCTTTATCCCGTACTTATCTCAGAGAGTGGTGACTCATATTAAGATTTTTAAAAAAACAACAAAAAAAAGCTTGCCTAGTTTAAACTTCAATAAATGATTAGTGTTAATTGATGAAAGAAATTCATTCATGTAATCTGGGCAAGGGCTTCATGGCAAAGCCCCGTTGAATGAAATCCTTGTCTTACATCCACCTCGGGAAGCAGTGGCCCTCCCATATATGAGGTATTTGTTACGTTGGCTGGTTTAAACCTCAATATATGATGAGTGTTAATTGCTGAAAGCAATTGATTCATGTATTGACTATGACTTAATCTTAAAGATTAGTGTATATCACACACATATATACAATATATAGATCTATGTCTAAGAGAGAGAGAAAGAGAGTCAGTCATGAAATCCTTGAATTAGGTCCTGCCTGTGACAAATGCTGTGTGACTTGGGAAAATCACTTCATCTCTCAGTGACCCTGGCAGGTGCTAATTTGCTTTGTTAAGGGAGTAATCCCCTATAACAATGAAATCACAAGTCTAGCTGTGTGGTTTTGTGCATATTGTGTGCATACACACACATATATACGTATACTACATGCACATATATAATGTATATATTTACATGTTTTTATTTCTATATATGTATAAAGGCTGACATGTATAATTTACATTCAAACTATTTCCAAGGTGATTTGAATTAATTTATAAGAATGAACATAAAACAAAATGTGAAAACGAGGTTAAAACAAAATACAGCTATTATAATATTGCCTCTATTAATGTAATTTCACAATAACATGCCAACACAAGCAGAGTATGCTCCATCCTCAGTAAAGCAAGGAACTGCTGTGACATTGGGCAGCCAACTGACCATTTATAACCTTGCTCCTAGGGAGCTACCTGACAGCTGTAACATCATTTCACCTAACATCATGTTTTGTCAAACCAATTAATTATATTAAACAGGGCATGCTCCTATAGATGGAATCATCCAAATAGAGGGACAAAATGCATTAGGGTCATAGATTTAGAGCTGGGAGGGATTTAAAAGGTCATTTGGCCCATTCTCCAACATTTTACAGATAAGGAAACCAACTCAGAGGCTTGCCAGAGGTCACACAGTGATTGGAAAAGCCTGGAGCTTTTAATTCTATTTCTCTAACTCCAGATCTAGTGATCTATCTGTCCATTGCACTGGTCTGCCTCCCTAATTTATTGAACATCCAAGTCTTTAATTCTTACATTTAAGTAATATTCCTTCTACAAATATGGCAACTTTAAACTTGCTATTAATTAATATAGCAGTTTATATTTTTGGACTATCTTTTCTCATAAAGAAATAGGAAAGTAAGATCAGGTAGTATTTTTGTTGTGGTGATTTAATAGTGAATTCCCTTCTCCTTCCCTTTCCCCTTCTCATTCCCTTACTCTTCCCTTTCCTTCTTCTCTGCCTCTCCCCCTTCCCTTTCCCTTTCTCATTCACTTTTCCCTTCTCCACTTTCCCTTTCTCTTTCCCTTTTCCCTTCCTCTTTCTCTTTCCCTTCCTCCTCCTTTTCCCCTCCTTAGGTAACCTATTGATCCCTGGCTTGTGAAGACTCACCATATTGATGCTAAACTTAACATGGATACCTGATAGATATAGCTTACTGCTGCTTAGAACTTCTAAATTGAAGAGATCTGTCAGCATCAGCCTTCTTTGTAACTTGGATTACAAGTGTGTGCCACTTGGCTGATAGTGAATTTTCTGTGGGATAGGTCAGTAAGCTGTAACCAAATTATCTGAAATCATAATTATACAGTTCCCCAATCCCATTCAATTTAGGATTGTCATGTCAGTCACTCAATCAGCAATGATTTTTATTAAGCACCTGGTATATGCTTAGAATACATACAGTACATACTAGGAAACAAAGCCAAAAATGAAACGTATATTTATTTCTTTGCTTTTCTAAGGATGTGCACTGTAAGTATACCAATGATGTTAGGGGAACATTTTAGGGGAAGGCATACCAGTTAGTATCCATTTCTAACAGATTGTTGTCTTGCTCTTTGTAGGACTCTGAAACCAGTGAAATAATCATCCTAGAGCAGTATCGTACTGGGGAATACAAGAAGAAAGCCAATGCATCTGTAATTCTCAGTAAGTAAGGGCTAATGTCTTTTCATTTTATTCCTCAAGTTATGTTTACATCTTAATATAAGAGGGAATAAAATAACGCTTCCAGTAGGTGCTTCCATTGTAATGGGCATTTATTGTGTCTAGAAGGAGACATTAGAATTGTTGCTAGGTAGCACTTGTTGACTTTTCTGTAACTGAACGAAAATTATGTGCATGGCGGCGTGGGCACATAAAGCTGTATCACAAAATCGTTATATTATAGTGCCTTTTATCAATCCCGGGTTTACTGACATGACTTATTTGGGGATAGCTATATAGCAAAAACCAGGGGCAAGGAAACCGGGGCTTTTCCCTGGCCAGTAACAAATTTAAAAGGTGTCACATTCAGAAGGCTCACACACAAATCCAACCCTTTCGTAAGGCATGAAGGAAACAAATAATGACCCAAACATGGGAAGGTGATGGTCACATAGAATGAATTCCCAGTATCACCTCTCTTCAAGCTTATGACTTTCCTAATCCTTTATATACCTGTGCCAACACTTTGGCTTTGTCTTCATGTGAACAAGGATGGAGGTAGTGAGGGTAGAATTGGATAGGTGGACCACCATGTGTCTAGTGTACTTCATCCTGGGGACTGTATATAGCCCAAACAGAACTAATTAGCAAGTATAATGAGTTAAAATAGGAACATATATACACATATATACAGACACACATACATATACATGCATACGTGTGTGTGTACATACACACATACATGCATACACGTACATATACATATATATGGGTGAGATGTTGGTGTTTCAAGGTATCTGTCTCCTCCCTTTGTGGATTCCAGTCTTCATGTTCTGGGGCCTTTTGCTCCCTTGATGTTCTTCCCAGTACTCTTCGCACATTCTGGTTTCCTTCCATCTCATCCCCATCATATTCTTCAGTCATGCTAAGGAATAATTGACCAATGACAGATTAAAATGCAATCTTTCCAAAAGATGGTCACATTGTTCATAAAGGGCATATATAAAGTGATTAAACTCTAGATTTTTTTTTAACCTTTAATTGTAACTGCTTAGATTAAAAAAGATTTTATAGTGGATTTCAGTGAGGTGAAATGGAAAAGGACAGAGAAATTACAACTTTCTAGGCTCTTAAAATCATATCACATAGGCATTTATTATTAAATCCACTCTTCTTTCTGTTTTATTTGGACTTTGTTTATACTAATGAAGTGAAGTACTAAATTAAGGCACCTCTCTGAACCACTCAAAACAAAAAGGGAAAAAAGTCTACTTTTGCCTCAATTGTTTAGATGCTTCTGGTGGAAGATTGGGGGAGGGGATTATGAATTATATGATTTATTTCATCAGTTTGCCACTCTCCTTTGCACATGAAAACCAGCGTAAGTTAGAATTAAAGTGCATTTTCAATAGAATTAGCAATAATGGAGTTCTTTTTCTTAAGTTAGCCTGCCAAAGGGAAAGGTTGTGTAAAAAGTACTGGTTACATCAAGTCTGATATAAATGATTCTATACTCCACCCTGCCTTGAAATCCTTGCCCATATTGGTAGTCCAATATTTCTCATGACTTTAGAGAAGTCAGAAAATAAGGCAAATAATTACTTTTCCAATGAGTCATGGATTGTTGAGAGTAGAAGTGACCTGAAAGATAATGTAGTCCCATTCCTTATCTTACAAATGAGGAAAGTGAGGCTCAGATTATTTCACCAAAATCACATCACAGAATCTCAGAATTGGAAAGGTCCTCAGAGGCCATCTAACCCAAGTGATACTTGAAAAAGCAACACAGTGTCTGACAAGTTCATCTGACATTTCCTTAAAAAAGTGGAAAGCCACTGAATTCCTAGACAGCCTTACCTAGATGCACTTTGAAATTGCTTAAACTGTTGAGTTGTTTTGCCTTTGTATTAAGCTTAAATTTGCCTCTGCAATTCTGACTCACTGTTCCTACCTCAGCCCTTCTGGGCCAAAGCAGAGCCAGCCCAATACCTCTGCCATGGGATAACCCTTCAAAGGTTTGAAGACAGCCATCATGTTCTGAACATCCCTGGTTTCTCTACCCGATCCTCACAAATATCACATTGCTGGTTATTTGCCCTGTAAAAATAGAGCTCAAGTATCCTGAATTTTGATCTAATGATCTTTCCATGATATGGTGCTTCTTCTCTAGACCAGATTCTGAAGCCTACTGTGGTCTTATGACTTATGTGGGGGCTTTATATGTGCATTTTTGTGTGCCAGAGTCTAACAGGATTAGAGACCCCCTGAGCTTCTCTCTAAGATGCCAGGGTAGCCTTGGAATCATGTTAGGTTTCCTCCGTATTGGGAACAATTCTTAAGCGTCCAAACCAGAACAAGTGAATGAAAAAGATAGGATAAAAAAAATCAAAGACTAAGTTTAAGAATATTGCTTAAGGGTGTGAGGGATGGATACCAGTAGGATTTGTTGAGGATTATATACCTCGTATAATTTATTATAATATATTACAAGTATAATATATATATATATTATATTATATACCTCTTATAATTTATTATAATATATTATAATATATATGTTATATACCTCTTATAAATCAATGTTAATTACTAACATCTAGCAGTATAGCAGACAGGATTAGGGGAGTGAAGTTGCCACAAAGGTTTAAAAGCAGGTTTTCAAGAAGTCTGGAAAATAGGTTAATTTGTTCTGGTTGTTGATAGAGTAAGACACAAGGGAGTTAAGTGGACATTTGAGAGTAAGACGTAAGGCTATAGAAGAACTAGCCTAATAAGCTGTTGGTTACATGCTGTGTTATCTTCCTGTTTGAGTCAGTTGTCATTTATTCATTTAAGTCATGTCAGATCCTTCGTGACCGCATTTGGGGTTTGCTTGGCAAAGATACTGGAGTGGTTTGCCATTTCCTTCTCCAGTTTATTTTACAGATGAGGAAACTGAGGAAAACAGGGTTAAGGGACTTGCTCATGGTCACACAGCTAATTAAGTGTCAGAGGCTGGATTTAAAGTTATGAAGATGAATCTTCCTGACTTTGGGCCAGGTACTGTATCAACTGCGCCATCTAGCTGCCCTGAGTCAGTTACTAATTATGAATGGGCATAGCTTTTAAGTAGTCCATTCATTCTTAAATTCTCTCTCCTTTATCTGTTTTATTGGTCAGTTGTCTTATAGATACTTTGTTATCCTATATTTTTTCATTCTTTTGGCCTTGTTTTTAATAATTGTTATTTTTCTCATCAAGTTATTAATTTCTCTCTGATTCATTCTAATTTTCAAGAAGTCTGTTGCTTGAGTGCAGTTTTGTACTGCTTTACTTATGTGTATTATAAATGCAAGTTTAGCTCTATGATAGAGGGTAATAATAGCTGTCATTTATGTAATGCTTTAAGATTTATGAAGCACTTTACAAAAATTATCTCATTTAAGCCTCACAACAACTATGGGAGGCAGGTGCTATTATTATCTCCATTTGACAGATGAAGAAACAGAGGTAGAGGTTAAATTATTTGCCTAAGGTCACCTGGCTAGTTTTGAGACCAAATTTGAACCTGGGTCTCCCTGGCTCCAAGTCCAATACTCTAGCCACTTTACCACCTAAGTATCTCCCTAAGGAGAAAAAAAAAAGTAAAAAGTATGATCTGACTTATTAGAGAAGAATAAGGGTTACCAGATAGAACAGAAGAAACAGTCCCGGAAAGAAGCCAGTAAAAAAAAATATTCCAAGATGGTGAAGGGGAAGCAGAAAAGTGCTAAAAAAAAGTTAGTAATTAGAAGAATGTGATTTAAAAAAGAAAAAGAAGAAAATCAGCCATACAAACTATAGATCAGATTGGCAGCTCTTTCTATAAAAAGGGAATCTGAGCCTTTCGAAGAAAACATGGCATCCATAGAAAAACAAAATGGATTCTTGGATACTAATGGGTGCAGCCATACTATTAGCAGTTCTCTAGAGAAGAGATGGCTTATGGTGTTTGTTAACTCTGTAATGTAGATCATGGAGGCAGCCACATATGGATCATTTGGGGGCTAATTGTGATATGTGCCAGTTGCCTGGTGATTGTTTTTGGGATGCGACAGAGAGCCACCTACTGACTGTTAACTACTTCTGCTCATAAAATAGCAAGGATAGTGACTTTAAAATCCTTCATATGAGACAAATTGCTTTCTGATCCCCCAAATCTCATCACCTTCAGAAGTGGAGAAACAACTTAGAGCAAACCTGGAATTATCCAGCTAAGTTATGGGAAATGGGCTTAGTGTCCACTTACAGCCTCTCTAAATCCTAGCATATGAAGACAGGATGTTATATTCCTTAGGCCATTTCTTTTCTCTTCCCATCCCCAAGATATTTTCAGGCATTTCTCTTTTCCTATTCTTCCTCAAATACCCCTCAGTTATGTCTCTTCAAGAAGTCCTTCCTTAGCTATAAGATATCAGAACAGAGAACAAGATTCATCCCCACTTCTTACAACTACCAGGCTTATTGTATAATATCTCAACTGCATGGCCATACTCATACACAGAGAATACAGGAAAAACAAGCACATATCTTGGATTTCCACACTTTGAGTCCCCTTTTGTCTTGTAGGAGAAAATGAAGCTATATTCATAATACCTCCAGAAGTTCTGCTCTATCCAGCCAATAATAGCCTGAGCCTTAGATGGTTCGTAGATGGCAGGGGCTGTGCAGTTTTATACTGAGGTTGAAAATAGGAATTATACACATAAATCTAGAGTAGACTCCCACTATACTCGAACATATTAATCATATGAGTCAGATGAGGCTAAACAGAGGGGTTAGTAGAATTCTTGGGAAGCAAGAGCTATACTCATACATATTTATCAGTTGCTCTACCTGTACCTATTTACATATCCCTCTTTCTCCTATGGGTGAAGGAGCCTGATCTAGCTGACTCACATTAGCCAAATTATACCTCGCCTTACCAGAGCCCCTTCCTCTGTCTCCAGACAAAAGTGACCTTCATGCAGACATTATTCATCCTT